ACGCAAAGACGTTCTCGAACGTTTGCGCCACGGAAGGAAGTAGTAGTAGTAGTAGTAGTAGTAGTAGTAGTAGTAGTAGTACGACGACGACGACGACGACGACGACGACTACTACTGCCACTGCTGCTTACGACAGCAGCGACGAGCACGACGAGCACGACGAGCACGACGAGCACGACGAGCACGACGAGTACGACGACGACGACGACCAGGACGATCGCGACTTCCACTGTTACTGCTGCTGCTGCTGCTGCTGCTGCTCCTGCTGCTGCTGCCGCAGCTGCTGTCGCTGCTTCTGCTACTGCTGCCACTGCTGCTACTACTTTGCTACAGTCTCGCAGAGTCGTTAGGACACGCCGGTGGGAATTGCGGCTGGATTTGACAAGAATGCTGCTCTCGACGCTGCTTTTGGATTCGCCATACTTCTTTGTTTTTGGTTTGGTTGTGCGCAGACAGTTTGTAATTTATTGCAAATCGCAAACCCGGTTGTCATTGCCAAGGTTCCTTTATACCGGCTGGGTTTCATGCAGCTTGGCTTCGCAGAAGTGGGATCCATCTCTGCTGAACCGGCAGCAGGGAATGAAAGGCCACGGTGTTGGCGGATCCCGAGCGACCAGGCAGTCATCAATTGTATGGGCCTGAACAATGAGGGTGCTGCGTGCGTCGCAGCTCGTCTCAAGACTTTCACTTCTGTTGAAGGAGGTGCTCCTATCGGAATCAACATTGCCAAGACGCACAATCCAGCCATTGTGGGGCCGGCTGCTGTCGAGGATTTCGTGCACAGCTTCAAGACACTGGCTCCCTTGGCGGACTTCGTGGTGATAAATGTGTCCTGTCCCAACACCGCAGAGGGAAAGACTTTCGAGGAGCCAAGTGCCCTGTCCGATCTCTTGCAGGGCATTGCTAGACAAAGTCGAGAGATGCAGTGGGAGCGGGCACCGCCGATACTGGTCAAACTCATGGCAACTCCAGACTCTGACGATGGCCGAGCGTGCCAGCGGGAGCTGCTGAGAGTTATCCAAGACTCGAAGGTCGTGGATGGCCTCGTTATCTCAAACACCATCAAAAACCCAGAGGCGCAGCTATCCAGCGCAGGACGGCAAGCTGCGGATGCCATCGGTAAAGGAGGTGTCAGCGGCAAGGTCATACATCGACGGAGTGTTGCTGCCATCCGGTCAGCTTTCGAAGCCACAGGCAGGTTTACGTGGACAGGTCATGGAAACTTTGGTCCTGAGCTTCGGAAAGGTGGGAGACTGCCAATCATCGGCGTCGGAGGCACTGATAGTGCTGAGGCAAGCTGCAACTCCCCCTATCTTTGCTTCACAAGGCTGCAGCATGCCTCACGTGCAGAACCTACGCAGGCCGCGTACGAGAAGATCCGCGCTGGAGCAAGTCTGGTCGAGGCCAGCGCTTTCACTTCCTGGGACTCAGGCTCAGCTGAGTTACGGGCTCCCTTTCATTCCGGTTTGGAGCGAGAGAATTGCTGTCCATCGCAGCCATTACTGATCACTGGCGGTAGGTTTGTGGCTTAGCTACACGGAGGCTTCTTTGCAGGGTTCAGGATTGCTGCCGTCGCATTTTGAGTCGCTGTGCTTTGCTAAGTGCTAGTATTCAGGCTCTGCTGCACTAACTCGTTTGCGGGCCGTGGCTTAACTGCCATCAATACTGTTGCGTTTTGCTCTCCTTTTCTACAGATTTGCCTTCTGCTTCTCTCTGATTATGGCCATCATGTCTTGTGGGTCCTGGCATAAGTGATAGTAGTTGTTTTCTAGTCTACTCTTAGGCTTGCAAGATGCAAGCCAGGATACCTGTGACAGTTGAGGGTTCCGTTTCCTGTTTGTAGGGCCGCGTGGCCGACACTGGCTAGCCTGCCTGGTGCTTTCCTACAGGTCTGCTCTGAATCGCTCTGAGCACTGTTCGCTGTTGGACTCCTCGGTGCCGTTGGCTTTTAGCCTTTCCTTCTGGCCCCCGTGCAGTGTGGCATACATGTCCTTGCTGTTCGGGGTTCTTTTCATGCCTGCTCTCGCCGGATGTCAGGGTTTGTTGTGGTTTTGGAGATGCTTAGGGTTTGCTTCAGCTCTACTCCTCGTAAGGGTACTTTGAGAGCACTCCATTGCCGTGGCCTGGACTCTGTTTGTAGCGGCTGAATTATTGTTAATACTGTTTGTAGGGCTGTGGGTAAATGGAGGACTCACCACGACAGTTCTCGCTATATGTAGCACTCTGTGGCAGGAAACCGTCCCGACTCTTGGGGTTCAACGTTTCGTCTCTGGTTCACTCTGCGTGACTGTCTGTACTGTTTGCGGGGCTTTTGCACGCCATCATGCCTGTAAAGCTTTAGGGTTTAACCCACTGAGATCTGGCCAGCGGGAAGCATCCGTGTTAGCGCACCCTGAGGGGTTCCTGTGGTGCATCACATTCGGGTGTTTGTACGCCTGGACTGCGAGAACAAACCATGGAAAATTGGCACCGCCGGGACTTGCATCGGTACGAGAGGTGTGGCGTTTGCCTGCTGGCTTCCTTTAAGATTTAGGTTGGCTGTTCTTCGTGCTTGCATCTTTTCTGGAGTTTGGCAAGTTCAGGGTTTGCAAGGCACGGATCCGTTTGCGACAAACTTTGGAATTTCGGACTTGAAGATTGCTAACCATCCAGTCTTCTCAGCTGTAAAGCTTTTCAGTCGCGCAGTTTGGGTTGTTGGGCTTGGTAGGTGCATGTCTTCGTACGGTTTGTGGTGTGCAATCCCTGCTTTGATAGCCTTTGCTGTTTTCGGATTCAGGAAGTCTTCCTCCATATTCCTCCCTGTGAGGTGTCTAGCTTAGTTGTGCATCGCTCCTTCTGCCAGCGGTAGCAGCAAAAACACCTCAGCCATTCCGTGTTGTCCAGTTCCATTCTTCCACTGTGGCGTGTCCGCTTTCAGAAACGGGAAAACTCACATTCGTCCAGAGCGCTGTCGTTGTTGTTCGTCGCTTCGTCTTGTGACTCGACCGCTACGGTCACCACCTAAGCACCGGTCGGCCACGTGTCCTGCAGAGGTCTACACCGGCTTGGTCTACAAGGGTCCCGGTCTTCTTGAAGATATCCAAACAGGCCTGAAGAGTTGAACTGCACCCAAGGTCTTGTGAGAGGGAGCGCTATCTTGCTGTGCCAGGTCTGCGCCGGTACTTGCAAAAAGACGGCTTCAGCAGCATCCAGGAGGTGCAGCGTAGCTGCGCTGTGCCTGTCGCGAATACGCCCTGCTGAAGTCCAGAGGCGGTTGGTGCAGATGTTCGTTCTGCGCACTGAGCCAAGGAGGCACGTTACATCGGACATGAGTCGGAGGGTTTGGCGCAGCGGAGCTCAGGCTCTTCGGCCCTCACTTCCGCGTTGGAGCAAAAAGTTCAACGTGGGAGCCAGTCCACTTACAGCTTTCTTTGGTTGACGTTGCTTCATTGACGTGCTTGCTGCTTGTCGCAACCATTTCAAAAGGGCAAGAGGGATGGATGGCAGGCGCACATCAGTCCCAGGCAGCCAAGCTTCGTTTCTCACACTGATAAGAGGACAAGCTTCCATATGAATCTCTTCTGTCGCCCTAAGTTTTACCAAGCCACTCGTCACTAACCCACTGATTTAGTTCTTCACAGACTTCTATTTAACCAATTGCGGTAGCATGTCACAGCTGGTGCTTGATTGGTGCGACTCTCAGCCATCTGGTTTTCCTGTCTTTTGACAAAGTGCTTGAGCGTCAACTGCTCATGCCTGCTGGTGTTCAGGTTGAACAAAGATGTTTGTCTATCTCGGAAGGCACCTACTGCAACAGGGCTCATGAAAGTGAACAATCGTTCAGAATGTGGCTTCTCCGTCATCGGAGCGGATGCCTGACGAACAACTTCAGCTTTTTCAGACCCCGTTCTGTTCTTCAGAAGTTGACATTGTGAATTCTCCCGTGGCCCTGTGACTGAGAGGGCCCTGTGACAGTTGCTGGGCCGTCATGAGAGGTGAAGATATTCGAGCGTGACTTTGCCAACGGGTGCGGGCCTCTTCCAGTGCTGAACTCTTGCAAGGGAGTCGGTGCAGGTGCAGGCTAGCTAGCAGGGAGGGTATGTGCACGAACTTAAGGGTGTTCCTGCTGAACAGCTTCCACTGGCTCTTTAGATTCCGGGCAGTCCGTCAGACTGCAAGGCTTCAGTTTGTGAAAGCAAACCCGCGCTGCTCAGTTCAGGTATTTGTTCGGGGAGCTGCTTTACAAGCATGGCCTCTTGCAAGCTTTCGAGGCACTCGCGTCACATTTGCTTGGCGGGCTTGAGTCGGTGAAGCTGTCAGAAACACCTGGAAATTTTAGCTGCTACCGTCAGGAGGAATTCGTGGATGAATCTCACCTGGCTGCTAAAAGGCAGCTGGTATATGCTGAAAGATTTACTGCCAGTCTCTAGAGGGTTGGTTTTGCATGGTGGCACCTCGCAGAGGCAGAACTTTTCTATGGTGCAGCAGGCCCTTAGAGAAGCTGTCTGCAGCACAGGACTTCCAGTTTGGCTCCAGAGTCCGCGAAGTGCTGTGATCCAAGGTCGGTGAGCTCGGCGTGAAACTGTCCAATGACCAGGCCACCTCCGCTCTAGTCATCGAGCAACTTTGTAAGATGTCGAGCTGAGAGGTAGAGGAGATCATGGACGAAGACCGCGGATCTTCTCTTCGGTGGCTCGGCTAGGAAACGGACGCGACCCGTACGCCGTCTCCAACACCCTGTGGCAGGATCCTCTACCAGTTGCGGCGGGTGCTCAGCACCAAGGACATGGGGCCAAACGCCTCTCCCTCTCCCTGCACAGACACTGCCCTGTTGGCTCGGAGGCCAAAGGCTCTGTCACCGTGGCCACAGCCCAGGCTCCTGCGGGCTTGCAAGCATTTGCAAGCGCACGTTTCGCAAGGCGTGATGGCCCGCAGGCAACAGGGGGTGCTGGACGACCGCGGCTGCAGAAGCAGGTGAAAACTGAAGAGGAGGCACCTGCAGTGCGGCAGGTGCACGCGCGCGAGCGATTCGCGACTTGCCCCCAGGAGAACTTCTTCGACCAGAGGGTGAAAACCCTTCGTCCAATAGATCAGCGATATCCCTACGAGGTGCACAACAAGGCGTGGCAGGGGGCCATCACAGAAGGTGTTAGTAAGGCTTGGGTCAAAGGGTGTCCTCCTTTTTTCCGAGGCCTTCGTGGACGAACACACCAGGCAGCTGCGCAGCGCCCGGGAGAAGGAATACGAGGTCTGGGCCCTCGCCATTACAGCCCGGTTTCTTTTTTTCATGTGCTGACTGATTTTTTGCAGCTACTCAGCCCGCAGTCAGGAGATGGTGGAAAGGAGTGCCAATGTGCAGGAGTTTAGGGTTGCTCAGCAGCGAAAAATGTCAGCCCAGCGAAGTTATCTCTGCTACCAGTGCATCGCGTCATGTCAGCACACCTTGGACCTTGGTGCCAGGGAGAGCAGCAGGGCTCAGAAGGAACTTGCGAGGAAAGCTGGGGAGCAGCACTGGCAGGCATAGTCGCATCAGCCCATTGCAATCTTGTCAAGCCGCACTAGACTGCAGGGTGTGCAAGAGAAGAAGTACAACCTGCTCGAAAAAGCTGGAGACTTATTCTGTCAACAAGATTGCAGAATGCCTTCTTGCGCGGCTGTTAAGGACCTCAACTTCGAGAAAGAGATGATCCGAAGAGATCAGCAGAGGAATTGCGGTGCTGTGACATTGCGACAGGAACATGCCAGTCTGGGCTCCCAGCCATGATGTCAGGATAGTTGAAATCCGCGAGCACTATGCGCAAGACTGTGGCTTCAGGGAAGGGGATGAGGACATCAGCGTTTGAAAAGGCGTGCAGAATATGTGCGCTCCGGTCCACAAGGAGCACGGTATTGCCTGGTTCGAGAAGAACCTCCAGCGGATCGGTATCGACACGTTCGGTCCCCAAAATGAGGTGAATTTGTTGTGGATTTACTCTGGGCTTCTGTAATGCCACTTTCAATGCCTGAGATGCCCCCGGTTTGAGGTCCGAACACTCGGGAAGTGACACTGCAACCATTGAGGCTGCGACCCTCAAGGTGCTATCCGGTCCTACTGTGTCTCTGCTCGTCCTCACCTCGCACCCTCGTCAGGAGCTTCACGAGAAAATGAAAGAGAAGCTTCCAAGCAAGGCTCGCGTCGTGCATTCGTGATGTGTGAGAGTTGTCGTCCTGAGATATCTTGAGGCTCGCCTGCAGATCGAATCTGCCAAGCGTGACCTGCTCAGCATTGCAAGCAGTTGCTGGCTTAGAGCTACTAGGACAGTCCACCAGGAATGGAAAAGATTCGGGACACAAAGCGGCAGACGGACATCGCTCGTAAGGCAGGCTCCGCTCTGGTGGATTGCACATACGAGGAATTTCCTGGAAATCTGAAGGTTGAAGGTCTTTTTGCCCGACCGCTGCCAAAGAGTTTTTTAGTGTAAAAGTTCCCGCGAAATGGCTTCCCCACGTTTCATACAAGACTTGGTGTGGTTTGCTTAACGGTGCCTCCTTCAGAGCGCACTAGTCTTTGTGACTGACCAGACTGCGTGAAGAAGTCTTGGAGTTGCAAGTGAGAGACACTGACTCACGTCTGCACGAAGGGAGACCGCACAGCGTGCGCAAGCTTTCGATGACTTCTTTAGGGCTCGGCCCCCTAAGACAGTTTCGGTTCCACTCCTCGTGCAGAGGTTTGTTGTGTCCACGAATGCACCGTGCTTTCCAGTGTGGAGTCCAGCGCAAGGGCAGAGAAGATCATACATTAGACAGGCAGGTCGATCCCGCTGCCTCGAACTGCGACAGGAAAGGGAGCGGCGACAGCGCCGTGTCCAGTACGAGCAGGCAGCTACCACGGCCGGCATCCCAGCGAATCCATTCAAAATCACATGGCGAAAGCTTTCTGAGCCACAGGCAGCCGTTGAAGCCAAGAAGAAGTCCGGGAGCCCGGTGTTCTTCTTGCACGCCAGTCTAAGATGTCGCCTTCAGGGAAGAAGACCTGCTCACCTGGCTTCTGGCAGAGACGGCCAAGTGCCTCGTGTCCACCATGATGACCGCAGTCTGGAGCCTGTCTCGTAGGTACCGGCAGGAAGCTGCGGAATACGATTTCAAGCTGCGCCGCAAGCAGGCGCAGCTGTCGCTTGAGAAGGAAGGATTCGTTTTCGGAGCGGTTCGAGGCCCAATGGGAGCAGCGGGAAGCCAAGCAGCGGGCGTATGCGCAGCGTGCAGCCGTCGAGCAGGACGAGGCCAGGGAGGGAGGCTCCGCTGATCTCCGCTGTCTCAGAGCCGCCCGCTTCGAGGCATGGAATCGCATGGCCGAAAAAGCGAGGGAGGAAAGGCAGATCAAGCAGAGGCCCCCGCACTTGGACTCGAGCCGTTGCTGTGCAGAGCCTAGACTCGCAGAGGTGCGAGGGCCACCTACTGCCTTTGTCAGCCCACTTCGCATGCACAGACTCGCATCCTTTCACAGTAAAGGCAGTTGCCCCAGCTCGCAAAGCGGAATGCCGTTCAAGGCATCAGCACTACAAGAGCGTTCGCTCTTGGCAGCGCTGGAAGCTGAAAGAAGCACCCACAAGTTCCATTGAAATGGCTGGGCTGGATGCCCATGCCGATGGTGCACAGTTTCTGCATGCCTCAACGGGCCGTTGACGGGATTGGTCACTGACGGGTTCGTGTCCGCCAGATCCCACCAGAAAATGTTGCCATGCTAGCGAAACGGTTTGTCAACTTCGTGGCGAGCTTTTCCTGTGACATCGTTGGCTGGCTCGGGTCAGCCTCTCTTCATCGAATCGCCTGGGGGTAGTGGCACGGTAAAGCGCTGTGCAGCTGGGTGTTTGGGTGTGTGGCTACCCAACTCGAAAGAGGAAGGAGGCAGTGGCTCGTGAGACGTATCGGAAGGAACCCTGATCGAACAAGAGTCAAGAGCTTGCTCAATTCTTCTGTGATTTGTTTGCTTGGGGCACTGGCCGCTTATTGTTGAGGCCATTGTAACGTGGGTGTCAGTGCTGGGTGGAGACTGCACTGCCAGGTACCGATCCAACATGCCAGACACAGAAGGAGCGGCCGAGGTGCGGCGAGCGACTGGCAATCCCTGGACTAGCTGGGTCCTTCTCCTCAGGAAGCATCGTCAGACGACGATGCAGCGCCATGTTCCAAGTTCCAACATTCTGCAAGCAGTGTTAGCAGCTTTGGGACGTCCAGTCCAGACGAAGTCTCAATACAGGCCGGTGGAGCCTGGTGCCGCGACAACGGCCGTCGAGAAGAAGAGGCCTTTCGTGGCACTTGTGCAGCTGCCACAACACGTATTGACCGTCTGTCCCGGCGCTGGATACCCGGGTGGGACTGCTCGGGTCCTTTTCGGCAGGTCAGAGAGGTTTACAAGCGACAGTGTGTCAGCACGGCACTCAAAAGAGCAACGGGTGAAAGTGTTTTGGGCCCTTGTTCTGGTGCTAAAAAGTCGTCGAGGTGAAAGGGTCGGATGCTGCCTCCGTGAGCGTCCAAGTGAACCAGCCGCGACGGTGGATGCTCCGGGGTGGTCTAGTCCTGTCTGGTCGCCCGAGGCGGCACCGGTCGTCGAGATCGCGGCTTCCGAGGATCGGGCAACTCCGTGGAAGCGACAGAGGAATCAGCAATGCCTTGACTTTCCCGTTTCCTCCCAGGAGGTCATCGCTTGCGTCAGGGAAACGTTGATGACGGAGTACCTCTTTTTTCGCGGCGGTTGGGCACACTTCAAGCCGAGCGAGGTGCTCTCGGGAGCAATCCGTCTCGGTTTCGATTTCTCTTTGAGCCAGGAGGAAGCGCTGGGCCTCTTGCATGGTGCCCTGGGGCGCTTGGGTGAGACTTCCCAGGCATGCTGGACGCTGGAGCTTTCGGCTTGTTGAGATGCGACAGTCGCAGGCTGCCTCCGAGCCGCGGCTTGGAAGTGCGGGAGCCTCGGGCCTCCATCCTCCTCGTCCTGCCCAGCCATGCATAGCCGGCCGCATAGCCCTGCCCAGCTGAGTGGATGAAGGTCGTGCAATGGCTATGCAAGTCATCCACCAGCTTCAAGCACCAGGCACCCTTTGCGAAAGTCAAGCGATGCCCGGCCGGAACCGGGGGCTCTTTCTGCTGCGTTGCTGCAGCGTCATGGCACACCAGCACTGCGAGGGACTGTGATCGTATGCTGCAGGCTGCACCGCGAACTCGCAAGGCCTGACATGTCAACTTGCATGGCACATCACGGAGATGCGACATCTTGCCAGCCGCAGGAATTCAGTTCAGGCTCACTCCTAGTTTCTGCAGGTCCCATGGTCCAAGGGTCACATAAGCCTTCCTCGCAGCTCCGACGAAGCTTCGAATTTGCACGGGGATACAACAACAAGCGCTAAGCACGTGAGAGATCGGATCCCATCGAAGCGTTGGCATGCCGCTGCAGTTGCTGCAATGGCATCATCTTCCTGTGCCTGCACCTCAATTCCTGCACTGCAACCCTTTCTGAACGATGCCTGTTTTGGGAAGGCCAAGCGGGTTCTCCAGCCTGACTTGCCGGCAAAGAAGGCATCGGCCTCGTTCAAGGTGGGGCTTTGCAGACTTTTGGGCAAGGAAGGCGCCGGAAGGCACCGAAGGCAACCCCTGCAAGCTCAGTCCACGCTGTGCAGGCTGCATCCGATGGTTCCTCGCGGGAGGTGAACTCTGAAAGGTCTGTGCATAAAGCAGAGGCGGCAGTCATGTGTGGCTATGTGTGGCGCATGAGCGTGAGTGCAGAGATCATGGGCTGCAGGTGGTGTGCCGATCTTGCACTAAAGCGTTGTCGCTATGTGACAGGGTGCCGACCTTACAGAGAGCCTGAACACTCTTGCGCCTTGCCTCAGCCAGAGGTCTGTCCATGGTGCGAGTGTGCCCCATCCTTTTCATTGAGCGGCAACTTCAACTTGAAGGTCCCGAACCCTGGCTGCATCGCATAACCCGATGTGACGTCGCTACAGGGGGCCCTCCGTGTGCTGCACGATGGGCGTCACGGTGGCGTGGGGGAGCTCAGCAGCCTGTGCACGCTCTCTTGGCCTTCCACGCTTCAGCTTTGGAGTGCAGGGAGATGCCTGCAACCTGGTCCTCTTGGGCCATAACATGGACCGGGACCAGCGTGTTGTTGTCAAGGCGAGGCCGCGTGCATCTGCGTGCGCAGATGCCGAGACATGCCGAGACTTCTCGTCCGTTCTGAAAACTTCGCTCAAGCGGCATTGAGCGAAGCAGCAAAGCTCAAAGCTCGCCATGGCCATGGCCCGCCTGCGGCTGCAGGCCTCGCGCCCTTCTTCGCGCCCCCCTTGGCGCGGATGCGTCCTTGGCCTTGGGCTTCTCGCTCTCCCGCTCCTTGCCACCAGGCCTTCGGCTTGGGTGCCTGGAGTGGCGAGGCGAGCAACTGGCGAGTGGGGTCGTTCCGCGACCGCTGAAGAGCTTGAGACAAAGGTTCCTACTCTGTATGTCTACGACCATTGTCCATACTGCGTGCGTGCAAGGATGATCTTCGGCTTAAAGAACACACCTTTCAAGTTGGACTTCTTGATGAACGATGATGTTGTGACTCCTACCAAGATGATTGGCAAAAAGGTTCTCCCGATTATGGAGATTGACGGCGAAGCTATGGGCGAATCTTTGGACATCGTTGCAAAGGTCGCTGCTTTTGCAAGCAACTTTTTTTGTGTTACATTGGTGGGTGCTGGCAAGAGATTCTTGTTTTTCTGCTTGGATGACCCTTCGCGTCTTTGGAGTTTGCAGGTTTCATTCGGCCCCAGGGCATTTCCCAGATATCCTTCTTCACATCCGTCTGTTTCGGTCAAGGGCTGGAGCTAGGTGCAGGTATCTTGGCACCCAAGGTCGATGCCCTGGACGACTCTCCGCTTCTGGCAAAGGCAGCCGGCCGTGAAGATATTGCCAAGTGGCTGAGTGACAACAAAGATCTTCTGCGCAAGATCACGAGGCCTAGAGATGCGATGGCCTTGTACCCCGAGTTTTCTACCAAAGCTGCTCGCGCCACTTGGGTCAAGAATCATCAGCTCTCTGGCATGACCTTCGAGGAAGCCCTTGCAACCAGCGAGCCGCTGATGGAAGAGCCTCTCGGCTAGCCTGGCAGCATCTCTAAGACTGAAAGGCTAAGTGAAGGGCCGGCTTCCGTGTGGTGACAACGCCAAGGTTTAATTCGAAGCTCCCGGAGCTCAGCGAGATGCTCCACAGCTCGTCCTCCGTCAACGAAGGCGGCTACTCCTACGACGACATCACTTTGTTCCCCACTTTGCGAAGGCTCACACTTGTAAAGGGCATACAGTGGCCCGAGAAGCTCCGGCAGTATACCGAGCACATGGCCGAGGTTTGCGACGTGCCGCTGTTGGACGGAATGGCCCTGTAGAGATTGCTGCAGCTGCCCAAAGTGTCACACCTGCGCATCAGGGGTTGCCATATTCTTTTCGAGAGACACTTATCCGCGCAAGCAGAACCAGAAAAAGAGATGCATCTGCCGCCGCTTCGTGACACTACATCCACACTGAGAGGGCAAAGTGCTGTGTGAAGGCCGCGAGACTGGATGAGGATCCAGAGGAGGTGGCGACGATCAAGGAGGAAGCGCCCCGTTAGCTCAGAAATGCTGAGTGCAGCAGACTCGTTGAAGAGGAAATCCAGATACAACGTCAGCTGGCGCACGACAACACTGTGTCCAGAACTCAGATTACAAGAGTATCGACAAAAGGCAACATCGTCTGCAGGCTGCCGTCGCTTCGAATACAAAATTTAGTTCACTGGAAGTCAACGAGTCAGAGTGGGAGAGGAGGCATAACCACCCGGACTGCGGTCCGGTACATCGACAGCCCTCCAACAGGCTGGAATGAACCTGGGGGCATTTCTGACTGATGCTGGTAAAGAGGCCGGTGCAAGTCAAGCTAGAGAGCAGATCGAGGCACTCGAAGTCAAAGGGCCGAGTACGCTGAGCTCTCCGAGCTTCCTTTTGGTCGAGTGTTTGATCTCTCGCACCAGAAGCGGAGGTCAAATTCCGAGTCTAGGCATAGACATCATCCACATTCTCGATCATGATCGGAATTTTGGCGCGATTGCAAAGGCCACTACTGTACGCAGCGGAAACACCCTCGGAGGCATGTTCGGGGTTCCAACAAGGGAGAGACGACGATCAGCCGGCTTTAACCGACTCACTTGTTGCAGGTTGTTTTGGTTATGCCCTTTGCTGCTGGAGGCGATCTCCATGCGGTCGGACGCTCGGCATGTGTGGCTTGTTCGGTTCCAAGCTGAATTGGAAACGTCCATCAAGGCCATGGGACCCCGGGGCATGTTGCCCGAGAAGCAGGCTGCAAATCCTTGGCTTTTGCAACTCCATCAATGGAAATCGCAGAGGCCGCCAGGTTGTGTGGGCAACTTCTGGAAGGCGTCGCTTGCAAGAGTCTCGTCACAAATTCCACAGACTCGCTGCTTCTGCCACGGTCACGGCAGGCCTTCGTTATCTTCACGAGGCGGATTATTGCGGCGCATTCAGTAAAACGGCGAGCCCGGCCGCTTCGCACGGCAGGATCTGTACATACTGCACGGCGACGTCAAACCGCGCAACATCTTCCTGGTTCCAGCAGGGTCTGGGATGGGTTCTCAGTCGGAGTCGGGTCGACTGACAAATGTGACCACATGAGACAATGCTCCGTTTGGAGATTGAACATCGGTAGCTCTCTAGGTTGGTTGTCCAGCTGGGTGACTTTGGCCTTGCACGTGAGTGCCCGCGAAAGGCCACTTGTCTCGAGCTGCAATCTGAAGCCGGTGGCTGCTACCGAAACCGTAGGCGCCCTTCCTCTGCCATTTCGCTGGTCCAGAGCCTCAGCCCATGCGGTGTTGCTATGTCTGTAGACGCAAGGGCTCCAAAAAGTGCGGGCCAGGAATACAAGGCTCTCATGGCTACATGGCACCAGAGATCCTGTCTGAGCAGGTGGCCCGTTCGTTTGTCCATTGGCACTGTCACGATGCATCACTTCTCATGCTGTTTAATGCACGTCCCCTCCGCAAGATCTGAGGACTATGGCAGACCGGTTGACGTTTTTGCCCTTGGCGTTATCATATTTACGCTCCTTGCTGGATACGTACCCAGGCTGTGATTCAGTACTGGCATCAGCGCGCAGATGGCTGCTGCATCGAGAAGTTCAGGAACCATTCTATCCCCCGTCCAATGTGCGCGCCCCGCTGGAGTTTGATCCACCGTCGTGGGCGCCTTTAAGCAAGGACGGGTGTCTGAGACTAAGACGTGGGACGTCGGTCAAATTTGGTGGAATGCAAATGCAGCGAGGAGTCGGCCGAGTTTGTAACAGACTTGCTGCGAGTGGCCGCCGAGGACGCGAGCTTTCCTCCAACTCTCGGCCCGAAGGTCTGATTTTTCATGCAACTGCGTGGCACACTAACGTGGCACACTATGGGCTCTTACGTCGGGTGCAAAGAGAAATGGCATGGCTCATGTAGGCGTGGGGCGCACGCGGCAGGCACACATGCCGGGACGCGGGCCCTCTACGGTGCGGTGAATCTTACTGGGTGGATGCCTCATTGTTTACTCAGCCTCGCTCCCGCGCGCGAGCCACTGTAAATTCCAATGCAATGGCCTCTTTCTGTCCTCAGAATCTCTGCATCTCGCCAGAGCATGGGAAGTACTCGTATTTCGGTCATGCCTCTGAATGGGGCCAGATGTCCGAAGCCTTTGCCCAGTCAATCCCGGTAGTACATGGCGGGCAGCATGTTGGTCATATCTCCGAATCCGCTAGCACATGCGTGAACGATTCTGGGGGTGGTGGTCGTGGTCCTGGTCCCGTCTTTCGGTGGTTTCCTGTTTTAGTCTCCTGGTTGGCACCAAGTCGCCATCGCTTACTGAAGGGTCGGGGTCAAAATGCGGGACGAACCGCCGTCGCCTAATGAGGGTTCCGGTTTTCGATATGAGATCCACCTGCATAAATGCATACAGGCACACATGCGCCACCGCCTGATGAGGGAGCTAATTTCAGATATGGGATCGACCGCCAGCAGCCCGTTGGTAGGCAAAGAACCGCCATCTTGCAATGATAGTAACGGATCGGGTGTAGATATGGAATCGACCGGAATTGCCTGGAGAGCGGTCGGGTCAAGGAAATGGGACCAATCGCAATCGTCTAGTGAAGGGCAATGTCAAGCTATGGGACCAACCCTCGC